CCGGGGTGCCGGGGGAGGGGGGGGGGTGGTGGTGGTGTTAAGACGAGCTGTGACTCAGCGTTGCAATACTTCTGGAACACGACTGTTTTTTCTTTCTTACTTTCTGTTTTTAAACCTCCACCCAGACCTTCAGGAAGGGTGGAGTCATTTGCCCAAGCTATGTGCTTTTCTACTGCTGCTTTCTTATCCTAGACTACTATTCAGTCCAATTCCTTAGCTCCATTTTTTCCACCCTCCAAAGCTTCCCATCTCTGCTTGCATCTCACTGTCCACTCCAAACTTTTATGAGGAACCTTGGAAAGAGTCAAATTTCAGTACATGTCAGAACCCCACAGAAGGTGGATCATCTATCTTCACTTGCCTCAAACTTGCCAGGAACCAAGAAAAATCTTGAGGACCTGAGGCTGGGGGTGGGTCTGTGAGGTTTGAGAGAGTGCTCTAGTTTGGTCCAACCTCTCTGGGAGGCCTGTGTTTATCCAGGTCACATTGACAGAGCAGTCTGTCCTCTGAGGAAAGGAGAATCCCAGAGCTGGCTTCTGGGCAGTGACTGTGGCCTTTCTCTCCTGGACTATGGGGTCTTTTGAGCTCATCCCTGAAGATGTATGGCAGAAATACTTTGCTGAAGCTTTGCTTCTGCCACAACCCAATCCACACATATGTGATTAAATTTCCCTCAACAATACTGGTACTTTTTATTTTTATTTTTTTTTACTTTTTTTTTTTTTGAGAGGTTTTCCCTATAGGGCACGTGCGCTCGCCAGACAGACAGAGAGAGACATAGAGACAGAAAGTGAGAAATCACCCCCCAGAGGGGATGGTCACGCCACAATCCCTTCTCCTCCATTCTCCTCTCGGGATCTTGGGCACGCATGCACACGCGCCCGGCGTGAGTTTCAAGCCACCAGGTCCGGGACGCGAACCGCGATCAACTACGTGGGAGTCCAGCGACATAGCCATTACACTAACTGCTGGTTCCCTTATTTTTTTTATATATATATAAAATTGTTGCCACAGGGGATGTGTGCTTGCCAGATAGACAGACAGATACAGTGAAAGGGAAAGTGAAAAATCACCTCCCAGGGGCATGGCCATTCAAATAACAGAGCCACAATCCCTTCTCCATTCTCTTGGGATTTTGAACACGCACACACATGCGCCTAGCATGAGTTTCAAGCTGCTGGGTCCAGGACTCAAACCACAGTCAGTCATGTGGGAGTCCAGCACCTTAATCACCACACCACCTACTGGCCCCAATATTGGCACATTTTGACACTATGAGGCCGAATGAGAACTCAGACCAAATGGAAACTTCCAAAAGCAGGCAGGGAAATGAGTCCAGTGTGCTTTGCAGAGGACTGTTGGTGTAGATTCCAGTCTGCCTTGAGAACATGGCTCTGGTTTATTGTAATTGTATCCACACTAGATTTGCTTATGCCAGTTCTGTGTTCCTCAAGCTTTAGAAAACAGCTGGGAAGAGGGGAAAAAAATTAAATTAAATAGGAAGCTGATGGGTCACTGGAGATTAAAAGCAAGCTTTCTACAGATGGCCCTGCACTAAAAGTGCAAAGACCAGGCATTAGCGGTCATGGTAAAGACAGTAGTATTAACTTTTCAAGCTCTGGCCTCCTGCTTCCAAACACAGCTCCTATAAGTTCACCCACTTCACTTGAGGAAAGACTGAGGCATCAGAGAGCTTGCCATAAAGAAAACAAGAAGCAGGACACAGCTCCTATAAGTTCACCCACTTCACTTGAGGAAAGACTGAGGCATCAGAGAGCTTGCCATAAAGAAAACAAGAAGCAGGAGAGCTTTCTTCATTTCCTTGACCAGTCAATCCTGTCTGGACTTCACTTTTTCTTTACCAGCCATCTCAAATCTAATTTTTTATCTCTAGCATTTCTGATTAATTTTTCAAGGTCACCCCTTGCCTGAAAGATGACTTCATTGCACCTGCAGCACTTCATTGTCCAAATGTCCTTGGCAAATCTCACAGTCTTTGGAAAATGTTGCATTTTTTCCAAACAGGAAGCCCTCCCTCCTTCCCCAAGCTTAATAAGGCTATTGCAGAGCATCTAAATAACAGAGCTCTTGTTCCTCAGACAAATTCAGCCCCCTCTGTTAACTGAATAAAACAGCTCCCTATTGTCTGGGACAGGACTGCTGCGCTAATGTTAAATTTCCAGTTCAGAAACATTTAACCCTTCCAGCTTCAAAGGGTCGGCTCTCCCAGGTGTTGGCAGTGACTCATTGGCACCATGAGCTCAGATGATACAGTGCAAATGTCATTCTCTGAAAAGTAAGCCACACGCTCAGCCTAGAACACCTTAGCGGCAAGAGAGGGTCTAGGTCCAGAAACATGGCCAAGAGGAGAATGCATGGATGAAAACTATTGTTTTCTTCCCACCAGTGGTTTAGCAGGGAAACCCTG